AGACTGAGGGTGTTTGAGAACAGGGTGTTGAGGAGTATATTTGGACTGAAGAGAGATGAAGTGACAGGAGGTTGGAGAAAACTGCATAATGAGGAGCTTCATAACTTGTACTCTTCTCCAAGTATAATTACCATCATCAAGTCAAGAAGGATGAGGTAGGCATGGTATGTAGCACGAATGGAGGAGAAAAGGAATGCACATGGGATATTGGCTGGAAAGCCAGAAGGAAAGAGACCACTGGGAAGACGAAGGTGTAGGTGGGTGGACAATATTAAAATGGATCTTAGAGAGAGAGAATGGAATGGTATGGATTGGACTAATCTGGTTCAGGATAGGGAGTAGTGGAGGGCTCTTGTGAGCACGGTAATGAACCTTCGGGTTCCATAAAATGCTGGGAAATTCTTGAGAAGCTGCAGATTTGGCTTCTCTTCAAGAAGGGCTCAGCTCCATAAGTAAGTAAGTAAGTAAGTAAGTCAAGTATCCATTTTAGTTTATTTTAGGGGGCACATGGTGCAGCCAATCAGTGCACGTTGCTAACATTAATGTTCAGTTGAGCACTCACAGATCACATGCCAAAAGGATGTACATCCTCTGTGCACCTACACGTAAATGTTTTTGTAAAAAAATATATTCAGTGTCAGCATTTCTCATTTCCCTTCAGGTTAAGGTTAATGCAGTTTCTCCACATTCTCAAACAGTTTTGGGTTCTAAACATGTTATACACGCCTATTCCAGCTTTTTCCATACATGATTTTTGTAACCATTATACTGACAGCCCGGATAGCTCAGTTGGTATAGTAATGGTCTATGGGCTGGTTGGCCAGGGTTCAATTCCCAGCAAAGGCAAGAGATTTTTCTCTTCTCCACAATGTTCAGACTTGTTCTGGGTGCCACTCACCCTCCTATCCAGTGGTTCCAGGGGCTCCTTCAGAGGGGGTAAAGAGACTGAGGCATGAAGCTGACTGCTCACCTCCATCTAGCACTGAGGTCAAGAGTAATTGAGTTACACCACCATTCCCAAATGCATCTGTATGGCATGGTGCCCAATTAACTAATCAAAGGGACACTTTTACCTTATTTTGACAATTATTACTATTATTGCCATTATTACAGTAAATGAAATATTCTGGGCACTTACGGCACGCAGTAGCATAATTAGTTGAGGCACTATGCTACAAGCCCAAATGTCGCGGGTTTGAGTACTGATGAGGTCATTGGATTTTTCTATTTACCAAATCCTTCCAGCTGCACTATGGCTCTAGGTTCAACTCAGCCTCTAACAGAAATGAGTACCAGGAATCATCCTGGGGGGGTAAAGGGCGGACAGCACGTAAGGCTGATGACCTTACAGCCATCTGTGAGCTGATGATCTAAGAAATGTGGTAGCCTTGACGTCTTACAACCTTATGGGCCTTTGCGGCCTGTTACAGAGACAGCTTTATGCCTGCCATATTCCAATAAGTACAAGTGGTACCTTATATTACACTGTCTCTCATCATGGTAAATCTACTGAAATAACAATTAGATTAATTTAGAAATATGAATTTTGAATTAAAAATTTGAAATCAGCAGAGCTATAAAAATGAAATGTTGTTAGACCCTGTAATGTGAATAATGTTTTTTAAGCATTTAATTATGTTCCTAACAGTTATGAAAAGAAATAAATGTGCAATGTGGCCCAAGAGTCTCAATACACAGGGAACACTTTTTAATAAAATGTAACTTTATTTACAAAGTATACTCTACATACATACTGAAATACTGAATTTGCTGAATTTAAGAGGAAACATGGCAAGAACATCACACATGACACTACTGGCAAACTTACTGAGAAGTTCAGAAGATTGGAAGTATTACAGACAAACCAAAAAGTAGTCATCTACATACATCTGTCCCTGAAGGTACAACCTACGTGGTGCTGGGTGCATTTGGAAGGAGTCCCCAACAAAGCACATGAAGGTTGGCTGCAGAAAGGATGTCAGCAGATCAAGGGGTGAAATTTTTAAAATTGATAGTAAACAAATCAGACAGTGACATACACTTCCCATCTGGGATTTTGTTTACTGATGAAGCCAATTTTTACATTAATGGTGAAGTTAATTGCCAAAATGTACGTCATTGGAGCGATTCCAACCTGTACTGCTTGAGTCTGTAAAAGATGCAAGGTGCTGGAAAACTGATGGTGTGGTGTGGGATAGAATTCTTATCTAACTGAAATTGATAGTCAATACCTGAGCAAAGCGTTGAAGAGAGAAAGTGTCACCTAAGAGTTAAACACTTGAAAGTGAATGTAGTCTGTGAGCCTAGTGACTGGTATCGGTAAACAAGAACTGGTGGAGATCTGTAAGTGAATGAAATAAGTCATGCAAACCTATCTTCACATCAGCCTTAAATGTTTCTCTACATCAAAATATGTTCAGCTTTTCATTCATAAATTGTCCAGCTTAAGCATCCAGTTTCAATAACTTACCTCTGTAAATGTTTGGCTTAAATACTTTAAACAATTTGCAGTCATCAGACAACAGCTATTAATTTCACACAATGGATTTAACCTTTTGAAGCATGAAGAGAAACAGCAGGAGTTTTCTGCACTCCAGTTGCAATTGTCAGTACAACTGCTATGAGGAATCATCTCATCACATATGTTAATAGCCCTAAATGTAAAAAGTCTGTGTTCTTTTATATTGGTTAATTTATTTGTTTATTTGTCTTTTCTCTCACAGTCTCTTCTTCCAGTAACAATTTATTTTTTACATCCACATGCTTTTCCTGTCATCTTAGGTAATCTATGGCGTCCTTCCAAATTGTTATAATACATAGGTTGTACAGAAAGTCATGAGCAACTTCTTTTTGCATGCAACCTGGGTACAGCAGACGAAAGAGAGTATGGTGGTAGGTGGAACCAGCTGTTGTGTTAACCTTGAGTGTCTTCTGACATCAATAGCTTGCATCACGTGGCCAGCATCACTCCTAACAAAATGGCCAACAACCAGATGTCGTTTCACCAGCATGCTGCCATTGAATTTCTTGTGAAATAGGAAATCCCTGCTGCAGAAATTCACCAGAGACTTCAGCATGCTTATGGAAGTGTGTGCATGGGTGCGAGCAGCGTTCAAAAATGGGTGAAACATTTTCAAGATGGGAACACCAGCATCAAAGATGAGCCTTGGAGAGGTCCTCCTCGAACAGCCTCAACTGAACGCAACAAGGAAAGAGTGGTTGAGATCATTCAAGATGACAGGCTTCTGACTGTGGACACAATAGCCCGAAAACTTGGAATAGGGCACAGTGCAGTACAGGAGATGATTGAAAGCTTGGGCTATAGGAAAGTTTGTGCTCGTCGGGTCCTGCGGTTATTGACCGAAGACCATAAAGGTCAGCAAAAAGCCATCACCTCAGAACTGCTGCAGAGATATCGACCCGAAGGCGATGATCTTTTGCTCTGCATTGTGACAGGTGACAAAAGCTGGTTTCACCATTTTGAGCCTGAAACGAAATGGCAGAGTATGGAATGGCACCATTTGCATTCTCCATCAAAAAAGAAGGCAAAGACAGTGCCATCAGCTGCGAAGGTGATGGGCACAGTCTTCTGGGATGCAGAGGGGTTTATTCTGGCTGAATTCCTGGAACCCAGGCAAACATTCAGTGCTGCTTGTTATGCCCAGACACTGCACAAGCTCCATTAAGCATTGCACGATAAACGTCCGGGATGAAACATCATCATCTTGCATGACAACGCTCGCCCCCACGCCGCTGGCCTCACATTGGAATCAATTGCAAAGATGGGGTGGGAAGTTCTTCCACACCCCTCCTATAGCCCTGATCTGGCACCCTCCGACTACCATCTTTTCGGATTTGTGAAGGATCAGCTGCGTGGATAACATTTTGAGACAAGGGAGGCAATTCAGAAAGCAGTGCATCAGTGACTTCGGATGGCTGGAACGGAATTTTAGAGAAGGGGAATTTTCAAATTCCCAGAACGCTGGGAGAAATGTGTACAAGGAAGTGGTGATTATGTGGAAAAATAAAGAAAGGTCTGTAGATTGAGGTGGTGTATTTGGTTTGTCAATAATAAAGCATGTTACTTTACAAAAAATTATTACTCATGACTTTCAGTACAACCCTCGTAGTATACCCACTGGTTTCTTGTGAGGTTTTATAGAACTTTGACGGTGGTGAAGTTGATGTTTCTTATGTATTTATGGTTAGTCGAAGCACAAAAGCGAGGGGGAGGGGATAACGAAAGAGATTGCATTTAGGGAGAAGGGAAATAATATTTAAGCATTCAGTTCCTACCTCACTGGAAATATCCAATTTTCCACTATAAAATCAGTTGATTAATGCTGTCTAGGAAACAATTATTGTTTTTGTTTGGGGAATCATGTGAAGCATAAATACACTTTGTGGGCAAAATGTAGAGTTGTCTTTTAATATTAAAGCATGTGGTACATGCAGTACCCATGTTTTAAACTGATTATTCATAGTCAGAATTTTCATGGGAATTGTTTTACTGTAGAAAAGTCTTTGGCTTATAACATTACTATTTGATAATTTCTGTTCGATTGTGGCTATAATTATGCTTTACGAAATGAATGGTATTCTTAACATCGGTAATAAAATGGAGGTGAAAATAATTTTCTGCTGAACCCAGAAAACTGACAAAGTTTTAAGTGTACTTTTTGTATCATGCTACAGTGACATAAACTCAAAATGTATTTTATACTAAACTGAACCATCCGTTGTAACTATTTGCTGTCAATAAGATAACCTACTAAAATCCGAATGAAAGTATAAAATTACTACCTTTTGAGAGTTATTTTTTGCCTTCGAACACGTATTCGATAACGCTCCATAGCCTTCGAATACGCATTCGATAACGTTCGATAGCGAACGTCATTAGTGATCGATTACCTTCACCGCTCTGTTGCCTGCGGCAGGTGGTCGGCTGTTACCGTTTTGTGGCGCCATCAAGTGGATACTCCGGTAAGTTAACTTATGTGCGTTGTACAGTAGTAACATAATAATCGAAACAGAAATGTGTTAATATGTCTGTTCTTTTCGTGTAACAGTTTCAAACAGCACAGTAACAGAATCAAAGGTCTGTGTGATGTGTTTGAAATATCCGAAATATGACAAAGAATGAAATGAATATCTCGTACGCTGGTACACGCAGAGTTTCATACTGCAGAGTTTCATACTACAGTGAAACTCCTGTACCGAACAGCAGGTAGACCAGGTGTCACAGATTAATTTAGTGCCGTTGGAAGTCGCGGGACGAAAGGTGAGGTGCGAAGGATTGTGTGTATCAGAGGTGTTATACTATTCTGTGTGAAGTGAGATAAACAGTTGCTGCCAGTTGTACATACTAACTACTTACCAGAGAATGTCCGTGGAATTAAGTGAATAAAAGAATGTACGAGTAGGAGTGGGGCGTTGGCCTCAGCGAGTATTGTGTTGTTGAAACAGTGTGTGATGGCGTCAAGCAGGACGAGATTGTGGCTGTTGTTTGTGTGGTGTGTAGGTTCAGCGAATTGTCAGACCCAAGGCTCCAGATATTACAATCGGGATTATCAAGATCATGATTCGTATGGCAATACATATGTGTATAACGACAGACGGTATGGACGACCAAATTATCCGGGAGAGGACGATTACAACAGAGGTTATGGTGAGAATGATGGCCGATATCATTATCAGGTGAGTGAGGAACGTGGGGCCCAAACCCAGCCCCCATTGTGCATGAAGCCCGAAGTACTTCGAAAGGCACGCTTCTGGGTTAAGCTAGATTAGGTTTGCGTTGTTGCATTCACAGGGTTAATTTTATTTATACTCTGAAATGGAGGTAACCGGTTTTCTCAGAACGGTACCTAATATATCAAAGTACATGGTGTCACATCCCAGAAAACCATAGTCATCATATTCACTGTCTTATGAACGCAAATCTTAAATAAATTAGACTGAGTTAATATTCATGTTGTGATCTGTACAATAAATACAGAGTGTGCAGGATTTGAGGTACTCCTAGGGGTGGTGATGAAACCTTCTGTCATCCGAGATATAACTCCCTATTGTCGACGTTTCGGAAGAACATTTCAGGAAGGCCACACGTGCTACCGATACAACTGTTGCTTTATCGACGGACTGCGTAGCTTTATATCCCAGAAGACAGAACTCATTAAATCCGAATTGTTCTTGATTTCGTTTACATACATGTTTGTGTTGTGCACTTGGTTCCTGCTAGAGAGGACAAATCGCTCATCCAATTCCCTCACCTCTTTCTGCTATACATATGACACAATGTTTGTTATAGAGTGGTACTAACGTTTCGGTGGAATGTGCTACCTTAAATCTCAAGTGAGATTAGTTTGGAATTTCGCGCTATATATCTTCATGACACAGCCGACCATCCAGCCAGGTGCTGGCGTATGGTTTTGACTTTGACAGGTTGAAGAGTTGTTCGGAGTTGTTTATTGTGGGTACGCCTGTGATTAGCACAAAACCCGTAATTTTATTGCGACACGCATTACGACATTTTGCCGAATTCAGTGCCACACAGTGTTTACTAAACATGCGACACTTCATAGTTAACATGCATGACATGCAGTGGATTACGAAACACTGATATTTCCGTATTACATAGTATGAAATATTTGGTTCGTCAATAGCTGATCGAGTGAACTGTACAGTCAACTTTTGTGACCGTTTTTACAAAGTTTATTCGGGAAACTCTCTCTCTATGGCTCTACAGCCCTTTGGACCTTGACCGCTTTTCAAGATTCTTAATCTTCTACACAGGCTGGTAGGACTCCTTGGACGGGGGATCAGCCCGTCACAAGGCTGCTACCAACACACGGAATAAACGCACACAGACATCCATTCGTCGAGTGGGACTGGAACCCACGATCCCATTGCTCGAGCGGGCGAAGATGGTTTGTACCGTTGACCGCGCGGCCTGTGTGATCGGCCGGAAAGAAAAGTAGAGCAGAGAAAATGACCAAGAGTTCGGGGATGTAAAGCCTTGTAGTCCGTTGAAAGACAACTAACGTTTCGGAGTAACATGTCACCATCTTCAGGATTAGGAAGCCATTGCGCGAGTAGCACAGGACTGGCGTTATTCTTACGCATTGTGAAGAGACTTTTAAGCGATCTGCGCAGTTTTTCATTCTCCTGTGACCTTCGTTCTTTCCCGAACATTTAGTGCTGTGACTACGACTTCCATCGAATTATTGTCCTAGTCACTTGTGATATTATCGCGGATGCTCAATTCGTGATTGCACCACCTGACGGAAACTCAATCGTGAGCCGTTAATAAAACGAAGGGTCGTGAAGAAGGAGGCCGACTATTCGCAAATTGATTGCAAATAAACATGTTTATCTTCAGTCTGCAAGACGTATGGTGCACTAGCGGAATACCCGATCAATAATGTGTAGCTTCATCGCATGATCATTATCGCACTTGCGTGCGCTTCGCAGAATTCCCCGTCTTTAAAAAAACTGATCGCTTCCCCTTTCATTTGTCGGCCAATCCAACAAACTCATAATTTTCAAACAAATTCGCACGCAGTGGGATATAACTTTAATGCCAGAGTGACAGTTGTATACTTGTTGGAAGCAAAATGCATGTCGACTACAGATGCGCTACAATGGCGGTAAATTTTAAAACTGCAAGGTCGGTGCAAGCCTGAATTCCGCCACAGGTGACAAGAAGTCAAGCTTCCTCACTCCCCCATTGTTAAAGACAGATAAGCTTTCTCAAAACTGTCCCAATTAATGACACGAAATTTCCAAACACTGAAACGAAGACGGTCATTGGTGTAATAATTCGTAAAACACTTTTATTTACATTAATGCAGTAACATGTTAGATGATTTCTGATTGATAATCACAGCATGAACAAGAAATTATCAAAAATTAATTTTAATTTCAAAAATTCCAAAGGAGGTGGGATGATGAAATGTGCAGCCCCAGGTGGCCTCTTGGTTGGCCTGGGCTCTCGCGCCGCCCATGTTTACGTGCATCACCTGCTACGGAAGAGCCAAGTAAAAGCTGTCTCTAACATGCCGTGGAGGCCCATAGGTTTCTGAGACGTCGAGGCTCCCACATTTGTTAGGCAGCCGGTTCACAGATGGCATGGAGTTTGCCAGCCTTATGCGCCGGGCCCCCTTTATCCCCAGTCAGATTCCTGCTACTCATTTCTCCTAGGATTTTTAAAAGTGCTGGGGATGGATGCTGTAGCTGAAGTTTCCTACGTAAAGCATGGTATCGCGAAGTCACAGGTAATTATCGCGTTTCGCATCGTCTGTCTTTCGCAGCTTCATTGTGAGGTTGGACACGAGGATTCTATATAGCTCACACCGTTGAATGCTGACAAATGAAAGCGTGTAGACGCGCCGCGGCACCCGGTAAGGTGTCAGTCATGAAACCCTGCGATGGCGAAACTATTTTGAGGGAATGATAGCCACAGGGTACGGACGGAACTGTCCGGTCCTTCTCAAGTACTCTTGCCTGGGCGTCTTTGCTTGGCAGTTTCATAATGGGACAGCTATAATTTAATGACTTTTCCGAAACGGCATGAACTTAAGCCGGCGGCACAGATGGCCAAGGATGGCAGTGACCGGCAGTGACTGTGAGCAGTGAACATGTGACTGACTGACAGATAATGCAAAGTATGAGTAATGAAGTTTACCTATCAAACTTGGCGGTCTGTACGATTCAAATTATTGTGAATTTCTTACAGTTCCTTCTTACTTGTTTTATCGGAGCTCAGCGATTAGCTGTTTTTTTTATTGCTAGTGGGGTGGATCTAAGTCCCTTGCACTGCGGCCACTCCTGATGCGATTAACTGTTAGTTTAGTTACATTGGAACCGTATATTAACGTAAAGGAAGCGATGGTACGCCAATTTTTGCATACTTGTATGTGTGTGTGTGTGTATAACCTTGCTGCAGAACTTATCTTTCTAGCTCTGGTAGCAAAGGAACGGATGGTGGTTGTGACGACTATAAGGATGACCGATAATGATAATGAAATTATTTGAGAAGTAATGGGCACGGCCTAAAGGGTTAACCAACCCACCTTGGCTTTACACACGAAATTCGCCACGAATCTCGATATGTATTGTACAGCCTCTTTATTAATCGTCACAACACAACATATATCAAGGTCAGTGCCCAGCTACGGGTGTGCTACATGTTTCGGCTATCAGTAGCCATCATAGCCGAAACATGTAACAGACCCGTAGCTGGGCATTGGCCTTGATATGTGTTGTGTTGTGTCGGTTAATAAAGAGGTTGTATATTGTAACACAACAGGATGCATGAAATGAAAACGTATTGTACAGTTAGTTCTAACAGTCCTGTGTAGATCGCGGCATATACGCTGTCTTCATGGTACTGTTTCTTAGGTTGAAATTCAAGAGAAATTGGCTGTAATCCGTGCTAGACTTGAATACTGCCCAGACAACAATAAAAACAACAGAAGGTTCCTAGCATCTGCCGTAATCTGGTAAAGTATTGTTTGTGATGTGTCGAAGCTGCAGGCTTGTCGGTTCCGCTAGAGTACCATCTCCGCGGTCAACTTTTACGGAATGGTAATGGGGGCGGGGGGACTGTGGTCACATTGAAACCGGATCGAGCCGGACCGTGTACGATCTGAGCTGGCCGACCGGTTGGTCAGAATCAGAACCATTATGTTATTGTTGTGTGCCTGTGTCATCATAAAATCACGTAGCATGAGCGGCCACAAGCTTAGCACTCACACAAGAAAACCGAAGGATATGACTTTATTTTCTGCGGACTTGGCCGTTAGGACTACGAGCCTGTCAGCTCTGAGCCGCTGTGATATGACGGACTCATTAACAAATTAAGGTTTGATTTCGTTTTCTCGGTCGGCGAGGTTCCGGTGAGTTCGACTCGGTCCTGTCCCCTTCCAGTGTGACAATAGCGTGAGCTGCACAACGATTTGGGGCACCCAGGGAAATCTCTCTGTAAATCGGAGTGGCTTTGCAGTAATACACTTATATCTGTTGTGAAATATTTGTGTCTGAATGAGTGAACGTCAAGGATAAATGATATGCAGAGCCATTAAATGGAAGTCATCAATACGCTGTGTCCCGTTTCCGGAAAATTGTCGCTAAATTACAAACGAAAATTCGACCAGCAAGATCCAGATAATCCCCATTGATCCCCGAGTCAAGAAACGCTGGTCCGAAACATTTCCGGGGAAGCCTTGTGTAATGTTGGAAAGAAATCAGACCGTTCTAAAAACGAAGAAGTCGTACAGCAAGGCAAATCGTTTAAAATGCAGCTCCTGAGTCCTTTGTCTCGTCCCCTCCTCAAGGATACGGTTACGGTTCTTATTCGGCTCGCTAATTAAACACTTGTGTTGCCTGGGAACGACTGCCAGTTCAGCGAGGTGACCTTCATATTAACCCTTTCATCAACCGCAAGACCAAGGAAAGGATCGTAATTCGTTAATGCGTTCAGTCTCCACTGTGTAATGTCCAAGTGCTCGCTGATCGTTCGCTCCCTGTCCGCTAACTCCAGGGGACATTTCTTCTTGACAGACTGATAATCTCTTAGCTAGTCAAGAAATGTTGTCATTTATACGAGAGAACCCGAAATTTCATTACTGTATTCACAAAAGCCTGTCACTGGACTCTCCTGGGGTAGTTTATTTCAGTCTACGCTTTCACGTCGT